TATGTAATGATCAAAACTAGTTGGTATTGATTAAAAAAAAGAAAAATAGATCAATAAAACATACTAGATAGCAATTTAACTCAGTAACATTGTGTTCTATAAAACAAATAACATAAAAGATCTATTTGATGAGAACTGCTGGGAAAACTGGAAAGCAATTTGGCAGTAATTAATGTTCAACCAATGTTTTACATCATCTGCCACAATAAACTTTGAATACATAATTTACTAAAGGCAACAGCATGAAAATATTAGATGAGAATTAGATCAATTACCTTTTATAGCTATGGCTAGGCAGAGGTGGAGGGAAGGATTCTTAATCAAATAAGAGAGGTGAAAATAAAAAAAAATAGATAATTATCAGTTAAATTAAATTGAAAAGTTTTTGGCTGAGCAAAACGGAGGTAGGATATGAAAGAAAGCTATCAAGAGGAAAAAAAAAATCTTTGTGTAGAATATCTCTGATAAGGGTCTGAAATCCAACCTATTAAAGCTTAAAACTTCACTAAGACTTTTGGGGCTCCGTGTGTGTGTAGGGGGAGGGAGTATAAAATCAAGCGTTGTCTACAGCAGATAAGTAGTGAAAGGATATGACCAAACAATTCTTTAAAGAATTATTATCTGTTATAACCAAATGAAACATTGGCTGTAATCACTAATAGTAAGAGAAATGCCAATCATACTGATTTGGAGGTTGTGCTTCTCACCCAGAAAACTAACAAAGATGGCAGTAGATGGAAGTAGTCAATGTTGGAAGGGCCACATAAAGACAGGGATACTTATGCATTGCTGGTGGAACTTTTAATTGGTCCAGTTGTTCTAAGAAAGCAATTTGGAAGTATGGTAAGAAAGCAATATTCCATTAAATTCATGAAGCACAAATGATTTATATATTCCCTAACAGATGGGCATCGACTTTGTTTCCATTTCTTTGCTACTATAAAATGTGGCACTATGCATATTTTCGTATATATGGGGTCTTTCTTTTTATTGTTGATTTCCTTGAGGCATGTGCCTAATAGTGGAATCCCTGGGACTGAGGATATGTATATGGACATACCAAAGTTCGAAAGCTTTAGCATTGGGCAAATGGCAAAAGCCCAGGATGTTCTAACAAGACAGATGACAGTTCTCAAGAGTCCAGAGGGCTTAGTTACAGAGTAGATGATAAGGCTCAGTGGTCTTTTTTCTCACTTGGAATAGTTACTACCAAATCATCTGAGTGATATAGATAGCAATATTACTTTTCCTGCTAGGATCATAGGGAATGGTTAAAGATAAGGGAAGTGGAAAGGTTCCCCTATTGGTGGTTTTTCCCCTTTGGATGGCCCTCCTCTTCCCTCTTCTTGTTCTTATACATTAAACACTATGTGTGTATGTATGCATATGTGGGTGCATATTTGACTCCCCTTTGCCAAGTTCACATAAAAGTGATCTCATGTGATTCCCACTTCCCCTACTCTGTCCTTTGTCTTTTACGATGTTCTAGCTATGGGAAGTAGGTTGTTCCTCCTTCTTTCTAATGTCTTTCTTACTATATTCATTTTTTAATAATGGAATATTACTGCCCTGGAAGAAATGAGGAATATGGAGAATTCAGAGAAACTTGGGAAGATTTGTATCAACAGATATTTTCAAAGTAGATTTTGATGGATATCTTTTGTTTTTATATCACCAACATTTCCCAATGCCCCTACCCCCTCTACCCTCTAAAAGACCATCCTTATCACATAGAATTTTTTTTAAAAAAGGAAAAAATTCACTAAAATGAACTAATACATTGAAAGAATCTTACATTTCTAATGTTCCACACCTATAGTTCCCCACTCCGTCAAAGAAGAGAGAGAAGTATCTTCCTAAAGCTCCTCTTTGAGACTTAACTTAGTCATTATAATTTCATGATATTCCCTTTCTTTTTAAAAAAGTTATATTGACATTTCTTGTTTTTTACATCACTGGAATTTTCCCCATCATTCCTCTCATCTCTTAAACAGCCATTTCATATAATGAATATTTTTATTTTTATTAATTAAAAAAAATGGGATCTAACTTGTTTCAGTGAGTCAAGGTTAAGCACAATGCATTTAAGAAACGTTCCAAACAATCAAAACGAATGTTAGCATCAAAATAATACATCCACATGAACCCAACCAACGACAGGTCAAAGAACAACCTTCAAACAAGGGGGTGGGTCACGCCTATTTGTTTGTAGACATGGAGGGGTTTATAGTGGCAATTCGGAACCATATTGTTATTGCCAGAAATTAAGAAGAGTTATACTTAAGGAACCTGATTAGTTATTAATCAATGAAGATTATGCAAATATAACAAATATTTTTAAAGAAAAAACCAATCAATTTATGAAAAAAGTCTGAAGGTATATGCAGTGTTCTATATCTCTAGACCTCCCACTTCTGTAAGAGTAGGGTTGGGAGTATCTTCTTATTTCTCTTCTTTGAGATTCTGCTTTATTCTTTGTAACTTTGGATCACTGACTTGATTTTTTTTGTTGTTGTTATTCATTCCAATACCTTGTTGTAGTTGTTGTGCATGTTTTCTAGGCTTTGTTTATTTTGCTCTGCATCATAAGTCTTTCTATGCTTCTCCGTATTCATCCTAGTTGTTTTCCAGTAATATTCCATTATGTTCATTTACTACAAATTGTTTATCCATTCCCTAATCAATGAAATCTTCTCTGTTTCCAGTTCTTTGCTATTACAAAAAGTGGTACTAGAAAATATTTTGGTGTAAATGGGATTTTTCTTTGTGTCATACTACCTTGGTGTATATATACCTAGTGGTAGAATCTCTGCATTAGAATATGGACGTTTTAGAAGCTCTCTTAGCATAGTTCCAAATTTCTTTCTAGATTGATTGGACTAATTTATAACTCTACCAACAGTGAATAAGTGTACCTGTCATTTTGTAGCCCATTCAATATTATTTCCATCTATTGCCATCTTTGCTAATTTGCTGAGTATGAGGCAAAACCATAGTTGCTTAGATTTGCATTTCTCTTATTAGTAATTTAGAGTAATATTTTATATAGTTATAATAGCTTGTTTGATAGTTCTTTATTCATATTTTAACCATTATCTACTAGAGAACAGGTCTCTTTCTTATGTTTCTGATAGTTGCCTGCATATCTTGGATCTGATACCCTTATCAGAAATGTTTGCTATAAATTTTTTTTCCTAGTCATTCATTTCTTTTCTTTTCCTAGTTGCATTGATTTTGTTCATATAAAAGCTTTTCAGTGATCTATTTTATGTTTTCAAATTTCACTTTATCTCTGGTTAAGAATTCACCCTTAGCCAATAGCTATAAAAGGTACTTGTAACCATTAATATTAAATCATATATACATTTTGAATTTATTGTGGAATATACTTTAAAATGTATCAAATTTAATTGCTGCCAGACTGATTTCCAGTTTTCCCAGCAATTTTTGCTAAGTAGTGAGTTATTTATTTGCTAGGTAAATTTATGTTTTGGGATTAATTTTATAGTGTGTGGTGGCAGATGGGGGAGGAGTGTTGAATGAGCCCTTTAAAGATTAGAATACTCTAATGTTAATTCAGATTTACCTTGAAGGAATTTTCTTTTCCAATGGATTCAAGCCTACTTGCTCTACATTTAGTACATAATTTTCTTCCTTCTCCTCCTTCTTCCTCTCTGGAAAAAGTGACCAATCTGTCGTTTTCCTGGTAATATGACCCTCAAGTATCAACAAGCATTTCATACATGCTTATTATGTGATAAATAGTCATGTTAAATAATGAGGATACAAAAGGAAAAGCTAAACAGCCCGTGTGCTCAGGGAATTTGAATTCTAGCAGGTGATACATCGTGTTTGTATATAAGTACATACAGAATAGATGACAAATTAACAGGTTGGTTTTGGGAAGTAGGACACTAGCAACCACGGTTGGAGATGGGGCTGAGAATTAGAAATGAACTAATATAGAGTCAAATAACACCAGGAGGTATACCCTCAAGATGACTATAATAGTGTAGTAAAGGACAACAACCTTTAAAGACTCCAGAACTCTGACAAGGGCAGAGGATGCCTGGGACACATTTTCAGACATGATTAATGATTTATTTTGCTGGACTGTACTTTCTTTCTTATAAAGCAGGGTTTTGGGGGGCATGGGAGCTAGGTGTCGCTGATATATAAAAAAAGAAAGAATATCAGTAATACATTTAAAAAGAAAAAAAAAATGGAGTCAAGAGAAACTGAGTAGTCCAATTTCCCCTTCTTGGGCCTAACCTAACCTTTTCATGTTGTCTGTGTTGGAAGGAAATGTAACATCATATGTTAAAGGAAGTATAGTATTTGTCCTCTCAATTCTCCCCTGAAATAAGAGAGGGAGTTTAATATTAAAATTAATGTATATTAAGAGATTTCCATTATCTTATGACTTTTTTTGTATTTAAATTAAACTGAGTAGAAATGTTAACAAAGCTTCTGTATAGGTGCCTTATAAAATGCATGACCAGGGAACTAAATGGATCAGTGAAAATATGTCATCACTACTGGGGACAAAAACCCCATAATTACTGCAAATGTTCTATCTACTAATGTTGGGATAACTAAACTAGAAAAGTCCTATGAAAATTGTTGAACCAGAATTTTGGTTCCTCAGTTGCTGAGGAAGCAGGCTTTTGGATTTTGTTGTCCAAACAACTCTACTTACAAGTTCGTTGCTGACTGAATTGAGAAGGGACTAGGAAAGTTTCTTTAATAATTGTCTCTGTCAAACTAGATTAGTATCGAGCAGTTCGTATTTATTTATGATTTGCATACTGCTTTTCTAGTCTTGCCCATTACTTTTACATTTCTTCTGCATGTGACTGAACATTTTTATAAGTGATAGTGTGATATTGTGAAAATTCCTTGGTGAGAGCAAGTTAATTCTAAGAAAAATATATTGATGATTATATGCTATTATGTCGAGAAACTCTTATGTAATAATTTATTTAATCTTTTAAATTCAGGAAAATAATGGATCAAGGAGAGGAGATTAATGATCAAAGTGGAGTAGAATTAGCTGATACAAGAGAGACTGAGGCAACTGAAACAGTGAATGATGTGGTGACAGAAGAGAACAAGGGAAAGACCACGGGACAGACCACGGGAAAGACCACAGGAAAGACCATGGGAGAGTCCATGGAAGGGACCCAGCAGGATTTCAAAGAGGAGGGGGGCCTGGAGAAGCAAGAGCATGACAGAAGCACCCAGGAGGAAAGTATGGAGAGGGAGAAATCACCGAGTGTGTACTTAGAAGCCCCCAACACAAAGGGCAAAAAAGTGAGAATGGGGGAGACCACACAGAGTGCAAAGGATGGGCTACCCGAAAACAGGGGAAAGCCCCACTGGTGGAGTGCAAAAGTTGTGGAGAAGGAGCCCCGCGCCAGGCCAATGGGAAGGCCGTTACCGCAGACTGATTTCCCTTCATCTTATTTGAACAAAATAAAGGCCATAAAGGAGGCTTTGAAGACGACAGTGGCAGACCTTACAGCCATAGGTATTGCTTCATTTACAGTTCATGACTTCACCTATTTTTTGTGCCCTCCCGCCCTTTCCCTCCCACTCCTGTAGCCCAATTATTGACTAAGCCTGGGGTGACCACCAGTGGTAATGCTCCCTGGTAATTCTCCAGGTAAGAGTCTATTATAATCGAATGAATGTTACATTCGTTCTTGAACTTCAAAGTAATTGTCAATGCTTCAGGACAGATTGATTTGTTTAAAAATTTTGAGGTTTGTTGAACAAATTATTGAGCTGCCATTGGGATTATTTTATATGCTAGCTAGAAAGCAACTCTTTTTAGTTGATAAGAGTAAAAAGAGTACTGAACCTGGGTTGGGTACGGGTTTTACCACTTTCTAGAAATTGATTGGCTTTGGGCAAGTCATTTCTTTTCTTTGGGTTTCAGTATCCTCATCTGTACTTGGGCTGGATGATCGTTAATGTCCCTTCTAGCTCTAAGTGTTATGATCCTTATGTAATGGAAGATCTTTTACTTGAAGCAGTGCAGACTCTTGGTTTTTGCAACCAATTGGAAGCAAAGAAGCTTAGATTTTACCTATTTCATAGTGTGTTGGTAGCAAAACCAATTATATTATTGTGTACCAATTTCATTATCTGATAAATGATGGTAATATTACTCACCTCACAAGAATATCCATCAAAAGAATTAATTAGATAATGTCTGAAAAGCTCTTTAAGCTCCCCAGAGAGAGGTATTGTAAGTGTTAGACTAAATTAATCATCAGTATGAAGACTTAGGTAGGGAACTCACTAGTCATTCTTAATGAAAAACCTTATGTTTCCATTCATGATACTCCCATCAGAAAATCTCCAAACTTCTTTTAACACTAAGATTTAAAGGTGATAACTAGACTGAATTAATTTCTCTTATCTATTGTGTTAATTTCCATTTAACTCACCTTCCCTTTTCTGTTCTGGGGAATATGTCTGATCACTTTTAACGTATCTTTTCATTATCTCCCTTGGGATTAACCTTATGATTGATTGGCTCTAGAAAATCATTGTTCTTTTTCAGATTTCAGAAAGGTGCAGAAAAAGTATTAAGGATTCCCTGTGGAGAAGATGTTGCTATATTCCTGGTTTCTAACCTGTAGGTTGGAGAATCTGGGTCATTATTTAACAAGAATCTAAAAATAACTTAATCCAGCCAGTAGAATTCCATGAATAAATCCAGTGGAAGAGTTAATAATTATACCTGTATACTGCAATGTAAAGGGTGGGGAGAGAGAAAATTAGTTTCCTAAGTGGATTTTGTAGCCTTTACTATTATTATCTATATTTTAAAACCACTCAACATAATTATCTTCCAAATTTTGTTTTCCTATTATTATTTTTATTTTGCTGAAGGTATTTGACAGCTTTCTACTTGGTATCATTCTTTTTTCTTCTAAAAAATTATTTACTTATTTTTAACATTCTTTAAAAAATTTTTTTTGAGTTTCAAATTCTGTCCCTCCCTTGTGTCCCTCTCCCACCTGCTGAGAAGGCAAGCAATATGATATCAATTATATAGATAAAAACATGCAAAACATTTCCACATTAGCCATTTCACAAAAAAGCTAGAAAAATAAAGAAAGTGAGCAAACTATACTTTGATTTGCACTCTGAGTTCATTAGTTCTTTCTCTAGAGGTAGATAGTATTTTTAATCATGATTCCTTTGGAATTGAGTAGAGACTAGTTTTTGCTTATATTTGAGAAATGAAGGCTTTATCAGAGAAACTTGCTACAAAATTTTATATTGCTTCATTGTCTATGGTACCTTTTAGCAACATGTAGTTTCTCTGGTTATCTCTTTTAATTAGTTCTCTTTTTGTTTTTGCTTTGTCTGAGATTGAGATTCCCATCTCTGCCTTTTTTCACTTCAGCTTAGGTATAATAGGCATCAGCCTTTTATTTAGCTCTGTGTGTGTGTGTTTCTGTTGCAAGTGTGTGTCCTGCAAAAAAACATATTGTTGCAGTCTGGGTTCTAATCCATTCTATCTGCTTCCATTTATGAGTGAACTCATCCCATTTACATTCACAGTTATGATTACTGTGTATTTCCTTCCATCCTATTTTCTTCTGTTTATCCATCTCTCTCCCTTTCTATCGATAGACTGTCCTTCCTCAAAAGTTTGCTTTGCTTCTGACCATTGTCTGTCTTCATCTGCTCTCCCTTTTATAACCCTATCCCTCCCATCAATTTCTCTTATCCTTCCCCTTCTGTTTCCATATTGGATAAGATAAGTTTCTATACCCAACTCTGTGTGTGTGTATACATACACATATATATTTACATATATGTCTGTGTGTGTGTATGCACATATTTATACGCACACACACACACGCACACATAAATATACTTCCCTCTTTGAATCAATTCTTCTGAAAGTGAAGTTCAGGCATTGCCTGTCACCTCCCCTCCCCCATTTCCCCCTCCACTATAAGAGCTCTTCCCAGTGTGCCTTTTTTATATGAGAAAGTTTTCCCCATTCACCTCTCCCTTTTGCTTTCTTCTAGTTCATCTTTCTTTCTCACCCTTTCATTTTTTTTTGAGGGGGTAGTCAACATAATTGTCTCACATTCATGCCTACTGTCTGTGTACACTCCTAACTGCCCCAATAATGATAAAGTTCTTAGGAGTTACATGTATCATCTTCCCATATAGGAATATAAACATTTTAAATTTATTAAGGCCTGTATGATTTCTCATTCATGTTTACCTTTTTACACTTTTCTCAAGTCTTGTGTTTGAATGTCAGATTTTCTATTCAACTCTGGTCTTTTTATCAGGAATACTTGAAAGTCCTCTATTTCATTAAATAACAATTTTTTAATCCTGAAGGATTATTCTCACTTTTGTTGAGTAGGTTATTCTTTATTGTAATCCTAGCTCCTTTGCTTTCCAGAATATCATATTCCAAGCCCTCCTCTCCTTTAAGTAGAAGCTGCTAAATCTTGTATGATCATGATTGTGACACCATGATATTTGAATTGTTTCTTTCTGACTGCTTGTAATATTTCCTCCTTGATCTGGGAGTTCTGGAATTTGGTTATAATATTCCCAGGAGTTTTCATTTTGGGATCTTTTTCAGGAGATGATCAGTGGATTCTTTTAATTTTCATTTTATCCTCTGGATCTAAGATATTGCAGTAGTTTTTCTTTATAATTTCCTGAAATAGTATGTCTAGAGCCTTTTTTTTTTTAATCATGGTTGTTAGGTAGACCAGTAATTCTTAAATTATCTCTCTTTGATCTATTTTCCAGGTTAGTTGTTTTTCCTATGAGATATTTCTTCCTATGAGATGTTTACTTCTATTTTTTTTCATTCTTTTGACTTTGTTTTATTGTTTCTTGATGTCTTGTAGAGTCCTTATCTTCCACTTGCTTAATTCTGGTTTTAAAAGAATTATTTTCTTCAGTGAGCTTTTGTACCTTGTTTTCCATTTGGCCAATTCTGCTTTTTAAGAAGTTCTTTTCTTCAGTAAATTTTTTTGTGCCTCTGTTATGATTAGACCGATTCTTTTGTTAAGATGTTATTTTCTTCAGTATTTTTTGTGCCTCTTTTACCAATCTGTTAAAACTTTTTTTTCATAATCTTCTTGCATTACTCCCATTTCTTTCCCTAATTTTCCTCTACCACTCTTATCTCTTTCTTTAACACTTCCAGGAATTCTTGTTGAGCTTGGGTACGGTTAGCATTTTTCTTTGAGACTTTGATTGTAGTTGTTTTTATATTGTTGTCTTCCTCTGAGTTTATGTCATGGTCTTTCTGGCCACCATAGTAGCTTTTTATGGTCAAGTTCTTTTTTTGTTGTTTGCTCAGTTTTTCAGCCTATTTGTTGACTTTCTGTGTTAAAGTTGGGCTCTGTTCCTGTCCCAAGGTTTCATGCTTTTTTGTACCAATGTTTTTAGAGGTTGTTCTATGGCTATGTAAGTTTTTAATGCTTCCAAGGTGGTGTGATTCTGTGAGACATGTGGTCACTGTTCTGGTCTGCACTCTGGTCTGTACCTAGGGAGGGTCTCTGCTTCCCTGCAGTCACTAGTAGTGCCACTGCTTCTCTTGGCCCAGGAATTCTGACCAGGTCCCCTGCTCTCCTCCACTCTCAAGCATTAGTGCTCCTCTCTGTCTTTGAACTGAGATCAGGGCCTCTGCTTCCTTATGACTCACCACAAGACCTCCTTTCTGCCCTGGAATTGTAACGTGGAAACATCTATGGGCAATAAAGTTGCCAATCAGTGCAGTTGCACCCTGTGTTCCCTGTAATCTCTTTTTGACCACTTGTCCAACCCCTCTACTGTGTTTAGGCTGAGAGCTCCTAAAGCTGCTGCCGCTGCCCCTGTGATTGTAGGGGTCGCAGCTGCCTCCAAGGCACTGTGCTCGCCCAGGTTTCACAGACTTCGCTTGCCGATCTCCTAAATTGTCTTATGCTGGAAAAATATCTCACTCTGACCTCTTGTTGGCTCTGCCACTCCAAAATTTAATTTGGGGAGTTATTTTAAAGTTGTGTGGAAGGGAAATGTTGAGACAGTTGAGCTGGACTGCTGCCAGACCTCCACCAGAATAATTTCTTGATATTTCAAAGTATTTCAGCTAAGCCCAAGGACACTTTCGTACCAATATTTCCAAAGTCTCCAAAACCTAAGCAGCCATCAAACAAACAAAACGCTTCAAAAGCACATGGAGAGGTGTTAAAAGGATAATCCTAAGTTTCAGATCCCTTCTTCTTGGGAATATCACAGAAATGCAAATAGATTCACTGACTCTGATCTCTAGTTTAACAAAAATATGTTTAAACAAACTCTTTCAAGCTAAAAACACTAGCTCCTTCATTCTTCAAATTTTATTTTGAGGAACATTTAAAAAAAATTTGAAAATATTACCATGTAGTAGTAGTAATAATAATAATAATAATAATATTAAAAATAATAGCTAGCATTTATATAGTACCCACTATGTGCCAGGCACTGTGCTCAGCATTTTACAAATATTGTCTCATTTGATCCTTACAGCAACCTTGGGAGGTTGGTGCTATAATTATCCCAGTTTTATAGATAAGAAATTGAAACAGATAGTGATTAAGTAACTTGCCCAGGGTCACACAACTAGTAAGTGTTTGAGGCTGAATTTGAACTCAGCTCTTCACTCCAGCCCAGCACCCTATCCACTGTGCCATCTAGCAGCCCCTTAATACTTGGGGAGGGGAGGGGCTTGGGGGAAATCACTTTCATTTGCCTATAATTATTAAAGCACCATTCTGCTGTTTTCTAAAGCCTTGAAAGATAAAACCAAACTATTTACTAATCTTCCTATATGGTTAAAAAAAAAAACAACAGAAATAAACCTTGCAAGAATTTGTTATATAAAGTGTTTTCATTCCTTTCTAGAGTTTATAAGTAAAGTCATTCATTAAATCTTGTCTTTTTCTAATTTATTAGAAGAAAAACCTTTCCTTCAGGCTCTGTTGAGTAGAGTGTGGCATTTATCTAGCTAGCTAGCTAACTAGCTATTAATGATTATTATTGGCCAGCTACATGGCATAAATGGATTGAGTGCTGGATCCAGAGTACAAAAGACCTCAATTTAAATCCCACCTCAAGATGCTTGTTAGGTGTGTGCCACTACTGAGTTTGCAGCTTCAGTTTCCTTATTTGTAAAATGGAGATAATGATCGCCTCTATTTCTCAGGGTTTTTGTGAAGATCAAATGCATTACAAACTTTTTAGTGCTATATAAATGCTTGTGATTAGTATTATCAATAAAATATTCACTTTCATAAAGAAGTTTTCTCTATTTTAGACTTTTAAGATACTACCTTTAAGACTCACTGACATATTTGGAACTACAGGCATAAAGGAATTTTAAATTAGACTAATACTTTAAGGGAAGAGGAGGACGGAGGTAACAACAGATGGCTTTTAAGGGATGACTTTTTCCATTGGGAGAATAAGTACCTAGGTTTAATGCGTTGCAGATTTGCATGTTGAATATTAGCCTCTCCTTTTGTAATTCTTTTCATACGTAAGGTTACCTCCTCCCTCCCCTGTCCTTGTAACTGTTTCCAGTGCTGATTCTCCTAAATGCTTCATTTAAAGAAATATTTCCTATAACTGGATAAATCATATAAATCAGGAGTTGGCAATCTTTACCCTAACAGTTCTTACACCTTTTCTTTCTGTTGTATTAGGAATGGAATTGACAAGGTGAACATTTTTGCAAACATGGAGTTTCAGGGATGAGTGGATGTCTTATGTCAGTTCTCAGAGTCAGTGAAAACTGGTGGCAGTTCTCCTAAGTGGCAGAGATAGAGGGGATGGCAATAGCAACTAGGATAAAATCATCTCCTATGTGCCATCTTTGAAACAGACTGAACTTTGCTAGCCTCTGGCATGAAGGTATAACGTAATTTTTTTTCTTCTTTCTGCAGTAAAAGTTACGCTTATTCCTGTGGACCAGATAGTTACATTTAATTTTAAAATTGATGTCTTCTTAAAACAACTCAAGGAACACTTTTCACAGCTCTTAAATATACCGTCTAAATATCTACAATTGACGTACCAGGGTAAGTTCTGCAAACTAATGAAATTTATTTAGATTTGCCGTATTTAAAAAATCAGGTTTTGTTAGTTTTAGAATTAGATTTAAAACTGTTTATGAGTAAAATGATACGTTTTAGATCATTAATATACATTACCTTTGTCAATGTCAGTGTTATTTTCAAATTATTCGCTCTGCTTAGATTTTGCCAAAGGAATCAGGAAACAAGTATTGAAGTTATACTAGATATCTGTGACACTGAATCTGAAACTTTGCAAACACACCTAAGGACACTAAAATAACTAAGGAACATTTTCATAAGGCTATGTCTAATTGGTGCCATTAATTCAATTATTTTGGTTAAATTAAAAAAAAATTTTCATCTATAAACTTCCAACAAAAACATTTTCAGGAGAATGTGGACTTTTTTGTATGCATCTCCTGTACTAAAATATACCCAAATCTTCGGTGTCAGTGTGAGCGTTGGAGCCTTGAAGTTCAACTTAGGACTTTTAAAAATTGAGCACTTCAGTTTTTGAGCACTTAGCACTTTTTGAGCAAAATAACTGTATTCAAACAGCCAATTCCATATCCTAGCCAGTCAGAAGTGTAAGAAAGGTAGTAACAAGCTAGTTCAACAAATGCCTGTTGTACATATATCCTAAATTAATCAGTATTTATTGAATGCCATGTGTCCAGTACTGTAATAAGAAGGGAAGGAAATAAGCATTTATGCAGTAGCACCTACTATGTGCCAGTCACTGTACCAAGCACTTTACAAGTATTATCTTATTTGATCCTCATAGCAACCCTGCAAAGTAGGTGCTACTATTATCCAAATTTTGTAGTTGAGGAAACTGAGGCAGATAAAAGTTAAGTGAATTGCTCAAGATTACTCAGCTAGTAAATGCCTGAGGCTGAATTTGAACCCTCATCTTCTTGACTTCAGGCCCAGTGTCTATCTGCTGTGCTTCCTAGCTGCTTCTAGTAAGAACTGTGGGATTCATATCTTTTCTAATGTAGTTGAGGAGGAAAAGAAACCCAGGAAAGAATAATCAGAAGAAGAGAGATGTTAGAGATAGAGTGCATGGGCAAGTGTTAAATGCTGCAGAAATATAAGGTAGGTTAGACTGAGAAAGAATTATTTGATAAGGAGGGCTTTGGCAAGCTTTTGAAAGAAATGTCATTAGATTGATGATTCCAGGAGCCAGACTGGAGATGGCTCAGAAGGGAATGGATGGATACAAAATGAAAGCATCAGGTAGAGACCACATGTTCTAGTAGTTTGAGAGTAAGAAGGAGAGTAATTAATTATGGAACTGTAGATTTAGAGCTGAGAGGGACCTTAGAAGCCATTAAGTCCAGTGTCTTTATTTTATAGATGAGAAAACTGAGGCACAGTTAAATGACTTACTAACTGTCATATGGCTATTAAGTGTCTCAGGGAAGATTGCAACTGAAGTCTGATTCTAAACCCTGTAGTTGATCTTACTGTGACACCCCGCTGCTTCTAGATTGGTCAGATTTTTTGGGTGGGTGGATGGATAGGGCTGAGTTTTAGTCCTGTGAGATCATTTTAAAATAAGTTTTTATTAATATCTTTTGTTTATTATATCATCTTAGTTATCCCAAGTATGCCTCCCTTAACCCTTCCTAGAGAGTATTCCCTTCTAATAAACAGTGTTTTTTACAGAGGAAAACTCCTAGCACAACTGATAAAAAATATGGAAGTCTTTAAACATGTTCTATATGTAATGTCTGTGGACCTCTGAATTCCACAAATGGGGGGTTGGGTGTGTCCTCTCATTTTTCATCATTTGAATCCTGCTTGATCTTTAAATTACATTTACTTTTGATTTTTGGTGTGAAGTTCTTCCATTTCACCATTTATATTGCTGTGGTTACCGTGTCTATTGTTTTTTCAGTTCATTCTACATCAATTCATATAGATTTTTCGATGCTTTTCAATATTCATCATACACGTAATTTCTTACAACACAATAATATTCTGTTACATTCATGTACCACAATTTGTTTAGCCTTTCCCCAATTGATGGACATCTACTTTGTTTCCAATTCTTAGCTCTCTCAAAAAGTATTCTTATAAAGAGTTGTTTTGATTTGTCATTTCTTTCATTAGTTTTCTGGTGCCTTCTTTCATGTGGTTGTCTGTGAGGGATTGTCTGATGTTGGCTACGTGCCACGTGGGGGTTGTGGCAAGATGGGGCAGGGACAAGATATTAGGAAGTAACTGGAGCTCACGCTTCCAAGGCAGGGGGCTGTGCCATGTGGAGTTGTGGTGAACTGGGGTAGGAACAGGATACGGGGAAGTAGCCGGAACATGTGCTTCTGAGGCAGGGGGCTGTGCCACGTGGGAGTGGGACGGCAGAGAACGAGCTCCCTTTGTCTAGTCCTCTCCCTAGGTGCAGCGCTAACCCCAGACGTCTCCTTCCAGTATCCGGGCCTAGCCTCCTGTGTCACGTCCTCTCCCTAGGTGCAGCGCTAACCCCAGACGTCTCCTTCCGGTATCCGGGCCTAGCTTCCTTTGTCACGTCCTCTCCCTTGGTGCAGCACTAACCCCAGACATCCCCTTCCGGTATCTGATCCTACAATCATTCACTGGTAGGCGGGCTGAGGAGGAGGGGCTAGGAAGGTATATAGGGGCGGTAGGGGTCAGAGCTCGCTCTCTCTTGCTCTTGCTTTCCTGCTTGGCCTTGCTGTGATGGCCTCTGAATAAAGTTCGAGTGTTTGCACCTCCTGATCGGCTCGTCTCTGTGGGCTCCGAAGACTGGTAAGTATGACCTTGGCAGCCTGCTCCTGTTAGAAGGAGAGTGCACGGCGCGACCGGCACAGTTGTCAATACTTTGCAATTCTTCTTTTGAGAACTTCATATCCTTTGACTACATATCTATTGGAGAATGGCTGTTAGTCACATATATGTAGTTAATATATTTTGGATACCAAATCCTTATCAAAAAATTTGATACAAAAACAAAATGTTTCCCATTTAGCTACTTCCTTTCTTTTCGTTGCTGTGTTAATTTTGTCTTTGCATAAGCTTTTCAATTTCAAGAAATCAAAATTATCTATTTTATCTTTGGTAATTGCCTCTATCTCTTGTTTGGCTAAGACTATGTCTCCTACACATAACTATGGTCTCTTTCTCTTCTAAATTTTTAAATTATGATCTTTAATATTAAGGTTGCATATTCATTTAGAATGTATTGTAGAGTATGGTAGAAGGTATTGGTCTAAGACTAATTTCCCCCAAACTGTTTTCTAGTTTGCCTAGCATATTTTATCAAATAAGGATTTTTTTTTAACTAGGTAATCTATGGTTTTGGCTTTATCAAACACTGGATTTCTGTTTGTCTTTTTTTGTTTATGTTTGAGCTCAGATTTACAGGGTAGGTCATCCTAGGCTGCCTCCTGACTTCCATTGCTCTTTGGAACACATTACCCCATACCTTTTTACATTTTCTAATGCCTGCAGAGTGGTCTTGTGTTATTTTGAATTTTTTTTCCTTTGTATTTGAAGGTCTTTCTCCAATTTGCTTGTAGAAGTTGTTGTTTCTGAATTGAATTGTTAAATTTAACCTCTATGTATCTTGCAGTTTGCTGCCTTGGATTTTCTTTTTGGAAGTTATCTTTGAGTTCTTAACTGGTATTTAATTTTCTGTGCTTAAAAGTTTTGGGCAGTTCTCTTGTAGTGTTTCTTGCATTATGGTTGTTCAAGTTTTTTTTTTTTTGTCATGTTTTTCTGGGAGACCTGGGTTGTCTCTATCCAACCTGTCTTCCAGATCAGTGTATTTTCTTGGATTGTTGTTGTTCAGTCATTTCAGTCATTTCTGACTCATTCTGACCCTATTTAGGTTTTTTCTTTAATCCTCATAATGATGGGGTATGGGCCCAAGCCTGCCAAAGGCCCTTGCCTCTTGCCCCAAAACGAATCTGGTTCCCATTTGTCTATGGTCATCAGAAAACTCTTATACTCACTCAACTGGCCTATATAGTTTATCTCCAACAAACTTCCCCCTTGCTGAAAGAAGACCTGGGCTGAACTCCTTCAGGCAGGGCCCTCATGATGTGACCTTGGGGTTCTAGCACCCCCAAACCTCTAGACCTCATCATAACCATTGAGAAATTAAAGGATTCTGACTTATACAGGACTATACTAGTAACAGATGTCATGACTGAATACTTAATTCTGAAATTCTAGGCCAAATAACTCAGTCTTATACTTGCATCTTACTATAATATCCTCAGATGTTCCTGAATCAATCTATTATTTAATAGATACGATTTTTATGCTTACAAAACTTAGGAATTTGCCATGAAAGAACAGGGACATAACTAAAGTAAGGGATTCATGTCAGTTCCAGGCAGAAGTTATCTAATGACCAACTGCATTGAGCCAGGTTTAAAGTCTGCCAGGTGTCATAGTGGGGAAATTGAGTCAGGAGAATCCTACCTCAGTCGTGCAGAAGAGTCGTTCTCTTTGGGTTTTCTTGACACAGATACTGGAGTAGTTTGCCATTTCCTTCTCCAGCTCATTTTACAGGTGAGGAACTGAGGCAAACAGGGTTAAATGACTTGCCCAGGGTCACACGGCTAGTAAGAGTCTGAGGCCAGATTTGAACTTAGGTCTTCCTGACTCCAGACCTGACACTTACTCACTGTGCCACCAAGCTTCCCATTATGAGGATATTTTCTTTTAGTGTTACTGTTTTTTGCTTCACTTCTTCTAGATTGTCCTTGGCAAGTTTTTCTATTCTATTCTTTATTTTTGCTGTGCAGGGTATAATCTGCCCTCATAATTCCCATTTCTCTTTTGAACCACTCAGGAACAGTGTGTTGTGGTTCTAGGTTCTCAAATTTCACAGAGTCCTCTGTTTCATCAAGTGCTGTATCGTTTTATTTTGTTTTGCATTATTTATTCATAGATACCTGAACTCATTTACTAGATCTGGAGACCATATTTCCTTCTGCTGTTAATATTTTCCCTGATGATTTACCTGTTTGTGT